ACCCCCCCCCCCCCGATCCTTCAGAGAAAAACCTTGTTCAAAGTGTCGCTTAATATCAATACACGCCAAGGAAAACGTCCCTGGCAAGAAAACAATTTTATACAAAAAAAGCTTTCTGATGCAAAGATAGACACAGAAAACCACATCTAACTGTGCCACAAAGACTAACAAGGTTCAAGAATGTGTTAGTAATCAAAACATTTTATTATAAATACTTAATATTTTTTAAAATATATTTTATGACAGTTGACTAGCAGCAATGACTGTTTGTAATTTAAAAACGTGAATGCAGTGACTTAATAGCCACATGCGGTTCCATGAACACTTTCGAAGTGCGTATAAAACGTGACGAGCAAACAAACATCAAGTGTTTTGTAGAACAGTTCGTTGCTAAACCCTAAATACAAATGTCGACCTTGAATTGCGTCAGTTTGTGCGAACGTCTTTAACCTCTTCGTCTGCTGTGTCCTTCCACTCGGTATTGCATTCGGTTCACAAAATTGTTTACGAAAACAAATTGAATAATTGCTAACAGATAATAAACATCAGTACTAAATTTTATACAATTTTTGAAAATAAAATGCCAGTGCAGGTTTGTATTAACTGTTGCCTACGAATATTATAATTCAGGGATGAGGACATCGCATTCCATTTCCGCCTAATCTGTTTTGCGTTGTCATCGAACAGTGGACTTGTCATTTTAAATCGCCATTAGCTGATTCTTGATAATTTAATCCTCGACAGGGCCTGGTAGTCCTTTATCACACGTCACAGCATGTTGGGCTTAGCGTTCCGTGTTTAGACTCTTCCAACGTACAGCTGCTATTGCGTGCTTTTCGGACTAGACGTGGACCAAAGATTTTCACCTTGACTAAAGAATATTCCCACAGTTTTAGTCTCAACAACAAAGTGACGTATGCCAGTAAATAATACATTTAAAACCGAGATTTTTAGTCAATCCCTGTGGTTCTACCACCCAGACCCTCATGTATTATTTGGGTCTGGCCCCGTTCTTGGCCAACTAGGAATTTGGAAATAAATTTTCTATCACAGAACTTCACCAGTGGTCCCTCTAGTGCTTTGCCTTCGCTGACATTCCCCCTTACCTTATCCCTAGTTGTTTTGGACACCTCTAGACCTCAGGTTAGATCATCATGGCCTCAAGAGGATCTTGACTACTCCCAAGATATTTTATGTCTATGGGGCTAGGCCACTTTTGAGGATTAGGGCACTTCCAGGTTACAGCCCCAAAGAAGCTTACTCTTAACCCTTGAGGCTTCTTCATGCAATAAGCTATGGCCATTCTGATACAAAAATACAGGATTGAAAACTGAAAAGTCTGGTAAAGTAATCTTCCGCCATGCAGACACGGTAAAAAATGATACTGGCTAAGGATTAAAGAACAGGTATTGGCTGTAAATGATTAAGTTCATAAAGGAGTATCAGGTCTCAAAATATTTAATATGTACATATTAGAATTCCATAACCTCAAAATTTACAATGCCAGATGGTAATAAGGTAGGTCCATTAACTGTACAGTTACATATTAGCAGCACAAGATCTCAGACAACCCTTGTGCGTCTTTGGTGCTAGTCAGGAAACATCCCAGCAATGCACACAGCAACTGCTTGAAATTGTGAGATTTCAGGTTCTCAGTCAACTTCAACACCACATGGAACAATATACCATCTTCTCGCTTCTTGGCATTGTGTTCAAAATCCTGGTATAATCCTTCCTTTCGAAGCAGCTTTCTTCAGTTTGTTCACTTTAACCTGCTTTTTACGTGCCTGTATATTACCCATCCTCTTCTTCTGCTTTTCTTCTTGGCGATTCTTCATTCCTTCTAGTCTAGCATCCCATTTCTTTCTACTTTTCTGTTTCTGTTTTCTCTCTCTCTTTATTGTCTTCTTCAGCAGTTCAGGATTATCTTTAACCTTAACACCTTCGGACTTATTCAGTGCTTTATTCCAAGCAATTTTCTCCCTAATCTCAGAAAGTTTCTCCACCTCACCTTTCGTCTCCAATTCCTTCAACTTCTCATTCCTCTTCTCAATCTTTTTGAGTATTTTATGTGGATCCCGTTCTTCTCTTCCCCTCCTCTCTGAAGCTTCACTTTTGAATCCTGATTCTGAGAAGTCAAATTTGCTGAATACCATCTTGCCTTCACTATTGTAAATAGGTTTTGACGGTTTTGGTTTATTTTCAAATTGTGCGCTATAATCTGGTCCTGTCTTAATTAAGTTTTTTCTTCCTTTCCGTTCATCCTTTTTCTGCTTTTTAAGAACTCTGTTCTTTAAGCCTTTCTTTAACAATTTATCCTTATAACCCAGCTTTTTACCTGAAAGAATGTAAACACTAATATTAATTCATCATATATTCATTATTCTTCAATTTTAGAAAAGCAACTTGAAGAAGGCAGAGTAATCAACTTGGCCGTATACACAGACATGGACTTAATATGGTTGAGGTAGGATGAGAGGTTTCATGTGATCATCTTCATGTAAAATGAAGGTAAGTTTAAAGAAACTGAGATGAATTAGTTGGATGGTTTAAATTGATAATTACCAAAATCAAACCACTGGTAGAAACAACAAAAATAATGTACCATGTGACAAGTACCCTCAAGAGCAGAGCAGATCAAACAATTCATCATGTGCACTAAGTCAGGAATTGATATTACTGAAGTTTACAAAATAACCTCAGTGCACCAACATGAAATTACTTTATATCTTAATTGCGTCATGTTTGTGTTATATTGATACAATATTTTATTTTCCGTCTATACACAAACTTAAAATAATGTTGTTTAAAATTACTTAAAATTATAACATTTTCAGTAGATACTGCATCTTGTTACATTTTTTGTATCGACGACATGTTTCAATGAAGAAACCAAAAACTTAAAATTAAACAAATCCAAATAATCAATAAACGCAACGCAAAATGTACAACAGTTTTTAAAATGTATTAAAATTGATGGACCTGATGATGATGTGATACACATTGAAACATGTCGTCGATACAAAAAATGTAACAAGATGCAGTATCTACTGAAAATGTTATAATTTTAAGTAATTTTAAACAACATTATTTTAAGTTTGTGTATAGACGGAAAATAAAATATTGTATGAAATTACTGTTCATATCTTTCTCCGGGAGAGTGATACATTATATTATCTTACATACTACTGCATAAGCCTCAAAATTACAATTTAGCAGACAAACAATGAACATGTACGTTACCTCTCATTGCTTGTAGCTTATCGTGAAGTTCTTCTAAACTCTTAGCGCGCGTTGTTCCTTTATTTTGTGCTGCAAGTAGTTTTGCTGAAATGACCAAATTTTATCAAAACAACTGTTATGGGGAAACTGATATTAATATTTTCACATGAAATAAATAAAACTTAAGGTGCCAGGAGGTCCCTTTTTGTTTCTATTGTTTTACAGCCTTATTGTTGCTGAAAAGCTTTCATAAACAGTGATAGATGGAACAATTACATAATTATGAATTGCAATGGCAACCGAAGCTGACACAGTCTAATCAAGAAATTATTCTAGTCTGTACTTCCTAGCCTAACAGTAGAAAGAAAGGTTTGAAGAAAATGATGACAGCATTGCCACACATTTCCAGAAGTGCACGAGAGTAGCCGAATGTACAGTTCGCTGGTAGGTGCATAAATGGCAAGCATATCAACCAATTCACACTCCTACATACCACCATGATGTGCAAGCCAATAAAATTTAAAGTTATATTATCATTTAATGTAGCACTTTAAAATCATGTTTATGACAGCGGAACAACAACTTGGATAAAAATTGAGGTCACATAAGCATGTAATTGGAAGGACTGTTGGTAAGGCCTGCAGGAAGCATACAGCATTGATGTTCTGCCATATCAGAAGTTTGCATAGTGGGATCGCCATTTTGTTATGACCAAGTCGTGGTGAAGTATGCGCAACATGCAAGAAGACCAGCCGTCCTGAACCAGTAGGTGCAACTTATTCAGTCACTGATGCATATGGACAGGCACTTGACACTTGGCAGCTGAGGCTGGAGTAATACATTAATGGTGATGCATAGCCTCAGACATTTTGAGGATTTGCAAGATCACATCATGC